ATAGCAATTCTATCTCCTCGGTAGCCTTCTCACACGACTCGACCCGGCTGGCGTCAGGGTCAGGTGACGGCACAGTCAAGATCTGGGATGTGAGTAGCGGCAAGTGCCTGTCGACGCTTAAGGGCCATAGCAATCCTATTTCCTCGGTAGCCTTCTCACACGACTCGACCCGGCTGGCGTCAGGGTCATATGACCGCACAGTCAAGATCTGGGATGTGAGTAGCGGCAAGTGCCTGTCGACGCTCAAGGGCCATAGCAATTCTATCTCCTCAGTAGCCTTCTCACACGACTCGACCCGGCTGGCGTCAGGGTCATATGACCGTATATCCAATCAAGGCCTAAGTTTGAGTTTAGATAATATGTGGATAACATACAATTCAGAAAACCTTTTGTGGCTACCGTCAGAATACCGGCCATCACGCGCAACAGTATCTAAGAAAACGATAGGCATTGGTACCGGAGGTGGAAGGGTATGGATATGCGAGATTCAATAAACTCCAAAACGTTAGAACATTCACATCATTGTTATATTCTGTATTATATTTATTATTCTCTCTATTTCATAGAGGTCCGGAGATGAGCAAGTATATATAGTATGCGAATTTGCCACCGCGAAACTTCTAGCATGCCCTGGATCATATGATAAGGTGTCCACATGTATAAATTTGTGTTTTAATATTTGCCACAGCGAAACTTCGAGCAGGGACTGGATTGAGTGACAAGATGTCCACATATTTAGTATTTGCCACTTGGGTCTAGCTAGAGGCATATGAACGGCGCGACTACGCTAGTAGGGAGGATGGCCGACCCGCCCCTGCTCTGACCTTGGAGATGCTTCGAAATGTATACATAGATATTGGATACGTAGGGGTACAAGTAGCACAGTCATAATATCGCCACTTTCTCAGCCATGTTCCCCTGTAGAACGCTAAGATTTATTTAGCAAGCGGCTTTCTGAACGGCCGTGCGCAGAAGTGTAGGATCCAGAAACCGATACCAGTCACTAATGTAGAATGGCCGAGCCGAGAATTCTTTGAGAATTTGGGCCACGTAGAGCAGGTATCTGCGCGGGAACAAGCTTTTAATTAATGTGAGAAGAGCCTTACTCTACGAATACCAACATTCTTAGAGTTCTAATCATATTGACTTCGGGGATGGAATGGTGTCATCATTATCAAAGTTTAAGACTGATAGCTAGTCTAGCAATGGAGTGAAAAGTTTGTTTCCATCATAAAGCATCACAACTATCCGTACTCTATTAATTCGCTGCCTCTCTGAGCTTCAGCTCGGGGAATTGTCTTCAGTGGCACATTCCCCAGTGCTAAGCATTGGGTGAATTAACCCGAGATGCAATGATGCCGACTCAACAAGATACTAATATCAAGTCTACAGGCATATACAGAGAGAATAAACAGCAGGCGGGGCGTTTCGGGAATTCGTCTAGGGCCGTCAAGGTGATGGAGTGCAATGTTGGCGATGATGGATGGGAGGGTGACGGTGAGCATGCAGCTCAGCTGAAGCTTATTGAGTAATGCCAAGACGGTAGGGGGAAAGTTTTTCCGAGCTGGTTAGTTAATCTGTTCGCATCGGCTATGTTTGCTTTCCAGTACGATTATTACTAGAAAGTAAGATTTGTACTGGATGTGAGAGCACATATTGCGCTTGCTAAACTTCAACGCTCTGATCCACGTACATGCATGTATCTGCAATGCCTCTGAAGATCATTTCGGCATAACCAGTAGGAATCATGATACAGGATTTTACATCTGGAGTACCCAAACTCTCCTTCTATCATACACATGCTCTTCCCCTGAACCGTCTACACCCATCTCCGAACACCCGCCTTACATTTTCCCACCCGTCAGTACCTCCGCGACCTTTTTCACCCTCTCCCTTGCTAACCCCACACCCTCACCTGTCTTCAACCTCTGCAACATATCACTCGTACCATCCGGCATAGGCCCATGCCAAGGATTCAACCCTTCAGCCCCCTTCCACATTCGTCCCTCATTATCCCATCGCATTGGCTCTTCTTCTGTGCCAAACGCCTTCTCAATCGCCTCATCTAGCCTCTCCTCATCCACAATAAACTCCCTTGCATTAGTATACAAATCATGCAAGCGCGCCCTCCGCACAGCCGCATGTTGCTCCATCCGCCGCTGGAAGGCGGGTCTCCGACTTTCGACAATCTTCGTGCGAGACGTGGAAGGCAACTTGTTGTGCAAGTAGTCCTGGAGAGTTTTCGAGACAGTTGTAGCTGTCAAAACATCTGTGTGGCGCGGGGGGGCCATCGCCAATGCACGATTCTCCGCCTGCATTTTGTTCCATGCAGCGAGGTGCAGCCGCTCTGTTGTGGTCTTGCGCTCGTGCAATTGCGCCACGCCATCTCGCAAAGCTTGTTTTCGGGACTCAGCCAGTCGACGTTTGTACGTTACGTAGTCGCGCAGTTTGTTGTGTTTGCCAGCGCGGGGGACGTTGTGAGGCAGTGCGTCGGGGGTTGTTTGGGAGATGAAGTCTGCCGTGTCTTTGGGGTGGGGGCCGCGGTTCTTGAAGACACTGCGGGGGACGGGTAGTACGCCTTTTACAATGGGATTTGGGGGGAAGGTGGGCTGGACGGGCTTGGGAACTTCGATATAGTTTGGGGATTCGGGGCCGAGGGCGTAGGAGGGGGGTGTTGAGGTGAAGGTGCGGAGGCAGAGAGAGGAATTGAGGGACGTAAGAGAGGATTTTGATGGCCACGGAAAGCGTACTGGTATTCTTGGAGGCATTGAGACGGTGGGGTGAGTGCTAGACAGACGCGGAAGTGGTGGTGGTGTTCCCTCATCGTGCCTACCCAGGAAGAAATGTCGAACGGTCGGGGGAGCAGCTAGCCCGTGCACGGACCAGCACTGGGCAGAAAAAGTTCGACCGCCAAAATTCAATCTCGGCCTTCAACCACCCACACCTCCCACGCCTTCCACCCCACACTCTTCCACTGCGGAACCCAGGCACGATGGGTACACACAAGAAAGAGGCGAACCGGAAGGAGAGGCAGGGGAAGACGGGAGACGGTATGGGCAACGTCAAAGTCAAGGGCGAAAATTTCTACCGCTCCGCCAAAAAGATCAAGACATTGAACATGTTCAAAGACGGGAAGGCCCAGCGCAATGCCTCCGGGAAAATCACCAAGGCTGCTTCATATCAGTCCCGATCCCAGCCCGTTGCTCGTGTCGAACCGAATCGCAAGTGGTTCAATTCTACCCGCGTTATTTCCCAAGAGGCTCTCGAGAGTTTCCGATCCGCTGTGCAAGCCCAGGCCTCCGATCCGACAACCTATCTCATGAAGCAGAACAAGCTTCCCATGAGCTTGATAAACGACAGGCCGAACGTGAACGGACTGAAGGAGCACGCTGCCAAGATTGCAGTCGAAAGCCAACCGTTCAGCGATACTTTTGGTCCAAAAGCGCAGAGGAAGAGGGTCAAACTGGACTTCTCCTCGGCCGAAGACCTGGCCGGAAGGACAGGAGACATGCACGACAACTATCTGGATAGACTGGAGCAGGCGAGACTCTTGTCCGGCTCTTCTGGAGACACTGCTGCTGGCGGCGAAGACGGCGATGGCGCGCTGACAACAGCGAGAGAGTCTATCTTTTCCAAGGGTCAGTCGAAGAGGATATGGAACGAACTGTACAAGGTTATCGATTCAAGCGACGTCATTTTGCATGTCCTGGACGCACGGGATCCCCTCGGAACGCGGTGCAAGAGTGTGGAAAAGTACCTTCGAGAAGAGGCTCCCCACAAACATCTTGTCTACGTCCTCAACAAGGTCGACCTCGTGCCCAGCCGAGTTGCTGTAAGTGTCCCCCAAATTTAATTCTTCTTCCCACTGCATCCCACCGTTAAGTCAAGGATTCTGCCCACTTCCATGGTTTGATCCTGTTACAACATTGGGAGATTAAGCTTGACTCGCCCTCCCCGTGACCGTTATGGTTGTGGGCAGACTAGCCTCCGTTTTGGTCGCTGGTCGCAAGAGTCATGGTGTTCCGTTGAGTTGAGGGCCTTCGCTGCTCTGCAGCTCGTGGTGGTTCTCTTAGTAATGCTACGCACATCTCTCCCCAAATTCCTGAACTTCATATAGCTTCGACGCTATATAGACTAACTGGATTCGTACAGGCAGCATGGGTTCGACATCTGTCGAAAGAATTCCCTACCCTCGCATTCCACGCCTCAATCAACAACTCCTTCGGAAAAGGCTCATTAATCGCCCTCCTCCGGCAATTCAGCTCTCTCCATTCCGACCGCAAGCAAATCTCGGTCGGCCTGATCGGATACCCAAACACAGGAAAGAGTAGCGTAATCAACACCCTGCGGAAGAAGAAGGTCTGCAACGTCGCTCCCATTGCTGGCGAAACGAAAGTCTGGCAATACATTACACTAATGAAGCGGATATACTTGATTGACTGCCCTGGAATTGTGCCGCCGAACCAAGGCGACAGCGATGAGAGTTTATTGCTGCGGGGTAGTATTCGCGTAGAGAATGTCGAATATCCGGCGCAGTACATCGATGCGGTGCTCGCGCGTGTCCAGCCAAAGCATTTGCAGCGAACGTACGAGCTCAAGGACTACACTGATGCAACGACCTTCTTGGAGCTACTGGCGCGAAAGCAGGGAAGGCTGCTGAAGGGCGGAGAGCCCGACTTGGATGGTTGTGCAAAAATCGTGATTAATGACTGGATAAGAGGGAAATTGCCCTGGTTCACACCTCCACCGATGAAGGAGGGTGCAGAAGAAGGTGGGCCTGCCAAGGGCGTTGACGGGCGAGAGGGGAGATTAGGCGAGATGGGTAAAAAGAGGAAGAGGGATGATGAGACAGTGGCTACTGGCGGCATGGCCACTGCCACAGTGGATGCTAATCCTACGACAGAGGACGAAGACGATGAATTTGAAGGATTCAGTGATAGCGATGGAGGGCTGGAGTTGGATATTGAGGATGACAGCGAAGAGAAGGGAAGTGGAGAAGAGGAGGAAGATGAGGAAGATGCGATCACGCTCGTTGCTGACAACGGCAGTGAGCCAGGCGAAGAGGGGGGCGATGGAGACGTGCTGGATGAGGTTCTGACCGTCTCAGAAGCATTGAAAACGGCGAAGAGGAAAAAACAAAAGTAGTTCACTAATTTCATGATACCCGGCACAGCATGATAGACATGATTTAATGATGCATCGAAATTCAGCGGAGAGTTACTCTATAAGGCAACTACCTTTTTTTTTTGGAAGCGGTGAGTGGTTTTCGCATCAAACTTGTGGGTCAAACAGCATCAAGGATCTAACTGCAAGCAAACTTCCCTGCGCCACGATTATGTTCGGTTTCATAGTAGCACCAAAGAGTTCCTCAGGAAGCGCGGCACTGGATTTTTCAAATGACTGTTTGAAACTGAGGCCTTTCAATCCCTATTCCATTGCCAGCTTACTCGTAGGATGTCAACTTTACTAGCAGAAAGCAGTGATAGAGTTACTCCGTACAAAACGTTTAGGAAACCCTCCTGCATATGTCACTTATAACCCCCAGCGCTCTTAACCCACTCCAAAATTACCTTCACAAACAGCAAAAATCCCTGCGGCCCCAGATTAGCATCCTTCAAATGCACAGTCGTGGTTTGGCTCAACTCGAACATCCGTCGCACAATCTCAAGTCGCTTTTCTAGTTCTATTCCTGCGCCCATGAAGACATGGTCGATTTTTATTGTCGTTTTCGGAGAAGATGTTATTTAGGTCGCGGAGCTCTGTGCCACGGTAAATTTCGAGGCTGGGGTCTGCAAGTTTTGTTTGAGCGTCGGATACCACTATGCCTTTGCGGCTTAACAGGAGGATTTTCTTCGGCATATTCGTGGTTGCTTGGGACAGTCTTAGTCAGTCTGTAAAATGAATTCGAGAAGAGATAATCTGGTGATCCCTGCCGTAGTCTACGCCGTACAGAACTTGGAATGTAATTCCTTGACAAATGACTTGTATGATAATTGACTTTAGGTGTCACCAAGAACAGCGAGTTATATCTGAGAGTTGATACCCTCGGATTCCTGTAACGCCGACATTTGTCGGCCATCGGGGCCTTCGGGTCGGTTCCCCGCAACCCACTAACTCCCCTAAACAGTCATTAGTCAAACGAATCATATCTAGCAAAGCACATCCACGTCGCGGACGAATTCCGTCGCCTTATGATATCATATTTGAACAACTTCCACTCCTATGTGCTTATGACAGAGGCTCTGTTTGATGTTAGGTTTTTAGTTGGACAAGTCTTAAGACCTTCCGTAATCTTGGATTTGAGGGTTGCTCATCCATGTGTAGGACACGAAATAACTTGAATTGATCGGCAGTCTTAATACAGCAAGTAAGGACTGATTTCCCGGAGCCCACCTCAGAAAATCACAACACATCGCCTAGCGAGCTTATCTATTACCTCCACTATTATCCACTATGGTGTCTGATCAGCGTCTCCAAGACTGCAGAGCACACATAGACTCCCTGCTCAACATCAAGGGCCATGCGGGACTTCGAGTAAGTCTCACTCATAGCAAAACCACTATTTTCTTTAATATCTCTTAGAAAACGTCATATCCGTCTCGAAGCCTAAATTTTCTAGGTCGCCAAGAGGTCCATCCATTCCACCAGAAGCTGCCTCGAAATGAATCAGATGCTCTAACAGATGAGCAAGCAAAAGTCTTGCTTGATATTATCATTGTAGGGGCAGGTTTAGGTGGTTTAGCAACATCTATAGCACTCAGAAGACGCGGCCATAAAGTCACAGTTTTCGAGAAGGCAGAGAAGTTAGATGAAGTATATTTCTCTCCCTTTCTCCCTCCCCTCCCTCCCATCCCATGTACATCCTTTCCGGATGTTAACGGTAAATCAGGTTGGCGCCGGCATCCAAATCCCCCCAAATTCCTCCCGCCTCCTCCTAAAATGGGGTCTTGGCCCCTATCTCACCCCCAAGGCGCATGAACCCACAGCCATAAAAATGCGACGTTGGCAAGATGGATCGATCATTGGATTAACGCAACTCGTGCCTGACTTTCAGGACCTATTTCATGCCCCGTATTTTGTGGTACATAGGGGCAATCTGCAGCTGGCTATGTATCAGCGAGCGTTGGATTTGGGAGTCGATGTTAGGGTGAATAAGGGGGTGGGCGGGTATGAATTAGATGGAGAAGTGGGAACAAAAGCGGGTGTTGTACTAGAAGACGGGAGTGTGCATTATGCGGATTTGATTGTAGCAGCGGATGGAGTCAAATCTGAGGCTAGGAAAGTTGTGTTTGGTGGGGAGGATCAAGCGCCACGGAGAACGGGGTTTGCGGCATATCGCGCGATGGTAGATACAGAGGAGATGAGAAAGCATCCACAGGTGTCGTGGTTGCTGGAGAATCCGGGGCAGAATTTGTGGTGCGTTTTCTTCCTTCTTTGGTGGATCTCATCTACTTATCAAATCGTTATTTATCGTTAATACGACGTCTAGGCTCGGTGAAATGCGCCATGTTATGACGTACACTGTTGCCGGTGGCAGTGCCTTCAACATGGTGCTCTCCCACCCCGAAGACTCCGACCCTAGTACCTGGAACCAAGACACCGCCATCCAAGAGATGAAACAGCATTTCGCCGGATGGGACCCTCGTCTCACCAAAATCATCAACATGATAAAATCCACATTAAAATGGCCGCTACTCAGCGGTGAGCCGCTGAGCACCTGGCTCCACCCATCCTCCAAGCTGGTGATTATAGGCGACGCTGCACACGCAATGGTACCGTACATGTCCTCCGGCGCCGCCATGGCCGTCGAAGACGGTGCCGCGCTTGCGGAAATCTTGTGCCTCATCACCTCACCTCAAGATCTCCCTCGTGCGCTGAAAGTATTCGAAAGAGTAAGGATATTGAGGGCAGGGCAGATACAGGAAGCGAGTCTTGTAAATGGGAAGATCTGGCATTTTGCGGATGGGGCGGAGCAGAGAGCGAGGGATGAGAGTATGAGGGAAGAGGTAGCAGGGAGGATGGGAGAGGAGAGTGCGAATCAGTGGAGTGATAGGGTTACTATGGAGTGGGTTTATGGGTATGATGCTGAGAGGGAGGTAGCGGTGGCATGGGAGGATGATGCTAGGGAAAAGCCGAGGCCTTGAGGGGTTGTTGGGATGTTTTGGGATGCAGTTTGTGCTTCTACTCGCTTGCGAAAATGTTTGGTTACTGTCTTCACACCCTCGGTAGCCCCGTTTGAAGTTTGGAGGTTTTCAGGTCATGCCTAACTCTTGAGTATCGCCAATCAAATGTCGAAGTAGAAAACTAGATACTGCGCAGCTTTCTAGTGGTTGTTCAGTCCCACAAGTAGCGAAACAGGTGACATGATGAGGCTATCAATCTCACTGTGAATGCTCAAGCTGAGCTCTGTCCATAGAAGTACTGCTGTTCTACTCCGCTTATTCCCAGCCGCTGCCTTGTTCATAAATTCTGCTACCAGGCCGCCTCCCCTTCTCCGCCCAAATATAAGCATCCCTTCTTTATTTTGCGCTCACGCCATTATACGTAGCCGCTTTACCACATTCAATATGACATCCGTTGAGATGTACCGCATTTGATTCAACTGTGGGAGAAACCAGGTCTATGAAAGGACTGAGCCATAATTGGAGAAACAATGATCTCTAGTGGGCTTTTCTCATTACGGCTAGCCGTAAATATTCGTTTACACGAGCTACGAGTGCTGTCCTACTATTATTTCGACACTCAACTAAGATCCTTCGGGTTTACATCTAATCTGTGCAACAGAAACTCGCAGAAACGCTTTCCTGTTATCAACATAAGAGCGCGAAGAGAATCGCCCGTTAGGTATTGCCCGAGATCGAGCATAGCTGTTCCGAAATACCGAGTAATTGAGTTCCATGGACCCATCGACGTCTACGTTGTCTTCTAATCCCCGCACTTCAGGACCAGGGCTACAATGGGCGTCAACTTTGCAGATCTCGCCTCCGGTAACCATTGAATTTTCCTTTGTAGTAAAAATCAGCATTCCAAGCTGAGTTTTAATCTTTGCTTTTAATAGTAGCATTTATTATAGCCCCTTAGCTATTGCTATAGCCCTTACTACCCCTACTGTTATAGATGTAAATGAATACTCTGCTATAGAGCACTTACAAACTATATAATATTCTTTACTTTATTAGATTCTACAATAGCTGCAAGGATCTAAAACCTCTCTCTATTTTTTCTTGTTATAGGCCTAGTAGCTTCATTACAGAAGTAATTCTAATTTTAACATTTATTCTCTCTTGCCACTCACTTTCTATAACCTACACTGCTTCTGTACGCCTTGCACACTGCTAACTAGCTATTAAATATTATATATACTGTTAAAATGCTTTTAGACTAATATATTTCACAAGCAAGCAGTCTATACAAGTAAACAGTCTACTATAACAAAATTTTAGCAACTTATGCTTTAATTAATAATGCATCTACTAGTTAACCTTTAACACACTAATAAATAAAGTTAAATACTTTTAGCTTTTTAAGTAACTTATAAAGTTTTTAAACTACACTTATGTAAACAGGTAATAATAGACTTGTTATATACAGTTATCTATCTATATATATTCTTCTGCTATGCTATCTAGAAGGTTAACCTTTTAGCAATGCAACAGTTATAAGCCTAGTTTTTATAGTAGAGATAGTTAGCGCATAAGAATTTTTACACTTCTATTTTACTAATAAAAACATATTATCTTTAGACACGCTGTGTTTAATTTCTACACTTAAAAGAAACATTTTTAAGGACTCTAGTAAAGTACGCTTAGTATAGAGGCAACCTTGTATTTAGATATGTCTTTTAAGTTTATACTGCTTAAGCTAGAGGGGTATATTGAAGAGCCTACCTTGTATTTAGATCTGTCTTCTCTTACGTTTATACTATTTAAGCTTGTAGATGTGCCGCATACAATTTTCCGCCTATATATATTCTTCTAATGTGCTAGCTAGAAGGTTAACCTTTTAGCGACTTAATAAAAGCTAAGTATACAAAGTGCAAAAAAAGCTAATTTAGTAAAGTAGAATAATAAAGCATAGTATAAAAGCATTATATATAGCTGCTAAAGTGTAAGCAGTGTCTTAATAAAATTTACCTGTTTCAAGTACTTAAAAGGTAAAAAGTATTTAACTAACTTTTTTTATTACCATTTTAAAAGTTAACTAGTAGATGTATTACTAATAAAAGTACAAAGTGCTAAAATTTAGTTAGAGTAGATTGTTTACTTGTGTGGATTGCTTGCTTGTGAAATACGTTAGTTGTAAAAGTTAGTAATTAGAGTAAGTTATTTAATTATAAGTCATCTCCTTTATCTAGCTTATATAAGTCTACTAACACGCATTCATAGAAACCAGGCAGGGCGGATCGGCGAGCATTAGGGAAATGAAGGACGCCACGCGACGCGCCACTATGGAAGAGGAAAGTGACATATTCGACGCGAAACTGCGCATGTTTGAACTGCGCATGTTTGGCGAAGGCCGTGGTAGCAGAGTGTCACACATCAAATATCAAATATATCATTGCAGAATACAGGCATATTAGGTCTTGAAGCTCAAAACACTTCTCGTTGATATCGACAAGTCGGTGTCTTTTAGCTGCTAGCTACCAGGCCCAAGCATCAACAGTAAGTGGAACCAGAGCCTTTTCACTCTCTAATTCCGCTAGATACTTCGAACCGCCAAGCCTTAAGACAAGAGCATTCCACCAAAAGTCCCTTGAACCGAATCGCAGAGGTGTTGTAAACTCCCAGTATTCCGGATACCAGCCTGCAGACTCCCAATCCAGGAATCCGGAGATATGGCCATTGTGGACCATGATGTTGTGATGCTTAAAGTCACCATGCGTGAAAACAACCGCATGGTGCATCGAACGTAACCTTTTAGCGACTACCACCTTCTCCTCAAACGTATCCCGTGTTTCAAAACTGTGGCCCGAGATAGAACTGAAGAGGTGGTCATTGAACTCGGATTCAGATTCGCATGGCCCAACTGAATGACTGGGGATGCGCACGCTTCTGACTGCCGTCCCTAAAATTGAACAGATGCGGTCTCCTCCCCATGGATGAGACCAGTTTCGCATGACTTGTAGCATGTACTCTAGCTCAGTGTAAATGGTCTCGCGCTCGGCATCATTCATTCGTTCGTATATCTCAGGATTGCCTAAGTCTCTGCCAGGTATGCGGGTCATTAGGATTGAGACCGGTGCATGAGGTGTATCGGGATGCTCTCCGTATGAAATGATCTTTGGCACTGGAAACCCGGCAGACCTTGCAAGCATCGTTGCCGCGACCTCTTCGAGCCTCGTGCCGTCTGACCATTTCAACACCAGTCCGAATGGAAGTTGCGCGAGTTGGTTGTCGAAAGGGATGCCGACCCAGTTGCAGTAGCGATGGGATAAGGAGCAAAGGTACGGGTGGACAAATCCAAAGACTCGACGAACAATCCGAGGAGCAAGTCGTGGTGTTGGTGGAATCGACGACGCTATATCAACAGACCCCAGGACGCGATAAGGCCAGGTGAAGGTAGGAAGGAGGATTTTGGGGACCAAGTACCGGAGCCAATCCATCGGGACGTATGTATTAAGGAACGGGAATATTTGTGATTTGTTATGTGGCGTTTTGGTCGTTCGTTTGAGGGTTGCTTATGGGAAGGAAAACATCTATCGTGTAGTAACTTAAGCAAGGCTTACCTAGGCAGCTGCTAGGCCTATGTTAGCTATTAAAGGCTTTATAAACTGCACCCAATTGCGCTATAAGCGCGTTGTCTGCCCTTTAGTATACTTTATAGCTTTTTGTTGCACCTTTATAGCTTTTTAATGTAGCTTTACTGCTTTTTTATGTGCTGTAATAGCTGCAGTTACAGAGGGTATACGCGCTCTCTTTAGCCTCTCTATAAGCATATTAACAGACAATAACACTAAAAACGCGTTAGTATAGCTTCTATACATATATTTATATAGCCTTAAGTTATACTAATAATTATTAGATAGTTGTTATGTGATTCTTACATAAAATAAGTAAATTTACAGTTTGTGTGTAAGGTTGTACGCGTGCAGGGAAAATTGTTGTGTTGCTAAGGAATTCCACTAATTTTTGCACTAGATAGATGCTAGGTGTCAGTTAACCTAGGTTTAATTAAACAAACGTACGCCTAAGAGGCGTACTAATAGGTAAGTAGGCAAAGATCTTCTTGTTATTAACTACTGCCCTCTCTTTTTATATAAAGAAAAAGGGTTTTTAAGTACACCTAGCCCCTAACACATAGGCTAGATAGCTAACATTTTAGGTAACCTAATTTAGCTATACGCGTGTACAGACGCAGCTATACTTATATATAAACACTAGTAACTTTTTACTTTTATAAAGTTACTTACTTATTTATATGTTAATCTTACTTTTTTTTAAAGCTAACTTTTAGTGCTTTTTTTATTTATAATATCTTTTAGCTTTTTAGCTTATATATAATTTAACTTACTTTTAGAATAGTGCTTATACTTAGCTAAAGTAAAAAAAAGTTCTTACTTAACTATATAAAAAAAGTTCTTACTTAACTATATAAAAAAAGTTCTTACTTAACTATATAAAAAAAGTTCTTACTTAAC